CGCCGCATCTAGTGGGTTCAACTGGATAGGCTAACAAAAACATTAAAATGCAATGACACTTACAACGTCATCGCATCTCGTGCACCACTGATACAGCCCTATTTCTTATTATTCACTGCTTGTCAGTCTTCTAGCCAATTCCTTATAAACAGCACATTTAAGTAATACTATTCATAATTTAGTAGTTTTAATGCAACTTGTAAAGAGTCTAATAATTAATAATTCATGTTTCTGGGGAACGGCCTGATTAAAATATGTCATAATGTAATCCTGAATCACCAGGTATGGATAACCATGTTAACCATGTCAGAAACGGTCCCACTTAAGTGGCCTTAACCACTATGTACTTACATCAAAAAATAAGTACAATGTACTTACTGTGTTCATATTGTATTGCAAAACACTTTGTTTTTTTGTACGATTTCTATTCGTAACTTTCTATTCATTAAAGAATGCTAGAAAAATATTGCTTAACAATGTTTAATAACAACTGTTTTCAACATTGATAATAATAAATGATAAATCATATTAGAATGATTTCTGAAGGAACATGTGACACTGAAAACTGGAGTAATGACTGTGAAAATTCAGCGTTGTCATTACATTTTAAAAACATATTCAAATAGTAAGCATTTCATTTAAATTGCAATAATATTTCACATTACTGTTATTACTGTAATAACATATTTAACATATTTTACAGTAAATAGTTAAAACTTTTTAAATAAAAATGTCCCCACAATTTATGGTAAACAAATAGTTCATTAGCTAATAATTAAAAGTTAATTAATAATAAAAACATTTAGAACAGTGCCACAAATCACATTAATTAGTTAACACTTATTAAAGCGTATTATTACATTATCTAAAAATGCATTTATTTATTTTTTTCTGCCTAGGTATCACTGTAAACAATATATGGGCCATTAATCACGGAAGCCAAATTTTGAAGACTTTAACACATGAGGCCTTCTATTTTACCATCTGTATTATGATGATGCTTTTAGGTACAAGTGGTAAAAAAAAAAAATGGTACCAAAGAATGGTACAAACGCTGTCTGAGGGGTGGTACCCTATCAAACGTGACTAATACTTACCTTTAAAATGGATAGTTCACCCAAAAATGTCATCATTTACTGACCCTCAAGTTGTAGTATTTCTTAGTATTTCATAGTATTTTTTCCATACTATTGAAGTCAGTGAGGACAAGCAACTGTTTGGTTACCCACATTCTTTAAAATATCTTCGCTTATATTCCACAAAAGAAAGAAACTCATACTCATAGGTTTGGAACAACCAAATTTTTGGGTGAACTGTCCCTTTAAGGTATTAATATGCACCCAATTGGGTATAAATAAGGTAACTTTTAAAAGGGTACCACCCCAGTGGCAGCTTTTTTACCTGAGAGTTTAAGGTACAAAGCAGATTTTAGTAGTTAAGGTTAGTTTATGTATAAAATAATATCAGTTCATGATATTTTACTATAATTGTAACAGAAAGGTTTATGGCTAAATCTGCAGAAACACATTAATAAACACTACAGAGAAAGACCGGCAACTTAAGTGAGGTCCAGCATGTTTAGAAGCGTAATAATTCATGCTGTCTCCTTAGATGAGACCATCAGACTCATTAGAGCAGCTTTGGACATGGACTCAAGCATAATGAGACAATTAGTATGAAGCAGAGCCAGTCGGTAAACTGAAAAATACCAGACTTTCTCAAACAGATCACTTTAAAAGTAAAAGCGAAGACAAATTAAATACTCTCGCCAAAGTCACAAAACCATTTATCTGTATTCCTGTCATCTTTATAAGATCAGGCCCAAGCTATGCTGACTGGATGCTTCAGTAATCAGATTGTTTTGAGACCGATCTAAAGAGGTCACTGAACATCTATACAGCTGTCTATTACTACAGCTGGGAAAGCATAGGCTACTTTTGTTTGCATTAAATATTCACTCAATCACAAAAACTGGTCTGAACAGCACGCTTTACAAAACCCCAGGCATGCTGGGAAAGTGAGCTTTCGCTACAGTCATAACAAGAAAGCACCAGTTGTCAATATCCTGTGAAGTGTAAACAAAACAATCACACACTAGACCAAACACCCTCAGCATTTCCTCACCGTTGATCGGTGGTGGTTATCCTTTGTTTTTGAGCTCAGGGGATCCTGCTGTGACTTCCTGCGGTGGCCGCTCCTGTCTTTCGCCACATGTCTCTCCTCTGAGGGGGGCTCAAACCTGCGCCACAAGGGACAGTGGGTAGCCACAGTACAAAACGCAACAGATTTCTCTGGCTAGTTAAGTCAGGGCTGCTCAGAGAGAGAGAGAGAAAGAGAGAGAGGGAGCACAACGCGTTTAGCTGGAGGGAATTAAGAGCTTTCACACAGCAGAGCGAGGGCTTAGGCAGCATTTTCAGGACAGGATAACTCTGGCTGCTGAGAGGGAGGTTAAACTGAGAACATTAGCTCAGGCGCTGACGCTAATACAGTCCTAGGTGTGCAAATGCTGCTAGTTTGTCATTAGAATTCAGACTGAGAATTGCAGTCAGTCTGAGTAGCTGTCTATGGGGTCAAAAGGACCACAAGAACTTTCCCTTGTTTTGATGTACAGGTGCATCTCAATAAATTAGAATGTCGTGGAAAAGTTCATTTATTTGCCAGTGTATTGTCTGTTTCTCAGGAGATCAAAGTATCTGAGTTTCCTGAGTTTCTTTTATCCTTACACCATCATGATTTTTTTTGCATTGTGACATGATTGTTTTTAAGTCATTTTATCGATAAATTCTAAATAAATAAAAAAATACTTTTTTTTTTTTTTCAAAATTCCTATTATTCTCATTATTGATTTCCATTAGCCTACATGTAAAATATGTTTTACATAAATGTTTTTTTTAAGTCAATGGAAATTACAAATGGTATAATTAATACTAGAGATTGACGTAAAAAGCAAATTGTAATTAATTTGTGCATTTACTGTTGTTTTAGTATTGTTTACATACTACTTTTTATGAATATTTTAAGTTTTCTTTTCAATTTGAGTATTGATTTAATTTTTAGTATTTTTATGTGCTTTTGTAATTTTAATAGCTTATAAATATAATCCTAAATAGTTTAATTTATTCTGATTTTAGTTTTATTTCAGTTAGTAATTTTAGTAAAGCCTTCTTCAACTTGCTAAGGAAACTATTTTAATTATGTAAGTCTAATATTTAAATTTTATTTTTATTACAGTTCTATTTAAATAAAAAGAGTTTAATACATTTAATGATAATAACATTGTTTGCATCGCAATGTTTTTTTGTTTTGTTTTGTTTTTAGCTTGAAAGCACCTGGTCACCAATCATTTTGTTAATGTTTTTTTCATGATCTTTTTATTTGTCATGAAAATATTTCTAAAATTTTAGAGGGGTCATATGATGCGATTTCAATTTTTCCTTTCTCTTTGAAGTGTTACAAGCTCTTGGTGCATAAAGAAGATCTGTAAAGTTGCAAAGACTAAAGTCTCAAATCCAAAGAGATATTCTTTATAAAAGTTAAGAGTCAACCACGCCTAAAACGGCTCGTTCTAACACCCCCCCACATGTATATCCGCTTAGTCATGCCTAGAGCTGATCTGTGCTGGTCGCTGAGGAAATACATCAACTTTGCGCTGTGGATCGCCGGATCGGCTTTCACCGTGGACGAAGCGGAGTCCAGCCCGGGGTCGTCACATGTGGTTGCAGCAAGCCCGCCGGCCGCCACTCACTCTAGCCCGCAGGCCTGGACATTGTAAAACGCTTAACGTGAAAAAAGCTTAATGTGGCTTAACGTACGTAAACAACGACCAGGGAAACCCACATTTTTGTCAAACCTTACTTGTAATAAACACTAACTACTGTCAATAGAACGAACCCTTACTCCACAGATAAAGTGAATACTATCACGTTAAGCGTTTTCTCCCCATAGAAGTCCATTATAAGGAAACAGCTTAACATGGTTTAACGTACCTTAACAACGACAGGGGACAACCAAATTTCTGTCAAATTTTACTTGTAATAAACACTTGCTACTGTCAAAAGAACGAGCTCTTATTCAGCGTATAAAGTGAATAATATCACCTTAAGCGTTCTCCCCCATAGAAGCTCGTTCTTTTGACAGCAGAAAGTGTTTATTATAAGTAAAATTTGACATAAATTAAATTTTCCCCGGTCATTGTTAAGGTACGTTAAACCATATTAAGCTGTTTCATTATAATGGACTTCTATATGGGAGAAAATGCTTAACGTGATATTATTCAGTTTATCTGTGGAGTAAGGACTCGTTCTTTTGACAGTAGTTAGTGTTTATTACAAGTAAGGTTTGACAGAAATGTGGGTTTCCCTGGTCGGTGATTAGGTACGTTAAGCCACGTTAAGCGTTTTTCATTATGACACTCAATGCATAACTGAATAGATTCTTTAAAAAATAAAAATGATTTACAATGTCATAATTAATTAAAATTTATCTACAAATTATATTCATACAATCTCAGCAAGCAACAGTAACTTACAGAAGTCCATTTCCAACACATAAGAAAAAAAACATGGCAAATCATAATTATGACATAAACACTCGAAATAATAATGAGATCATAAGACACAAGAAGTCATAATTATGGTGTAAAAATATAATTTTCATCTCATAATTATGACTTAGTACTTCATAATTTCAGTGTATCTCAGAATTAAGACTTTTGTATAATTTTGATTTTTTTTTTTTATCTTATAATTTTGTTCTCATAACTTTATCTCATTTTTTTTATCATAAATAAATTATTTTATTGTCTACTAATTACCAAAAATCACAGTTGTTCAACTCAATGTATTTCAATTGCCCGCTATGAACTTCCTGGAACTATTTGAGGTCTACGCGTAAATGCAGAATTAAATAAATAAATAAATGTAGAAATACATAAATTAATAAATAAATAAATATATGAAGAAATAAATATAGAAATACATAAATAAATGTAGAAATACATAAGTAAATAAATAAATAATTAATTAAATGCTGAAATAAATAAATGCAGAAATACATAAATAATTAAATAATTAAATGCTTAAATAAATAAATGCAGATATGCATAAATGAATGAATGCATAAATAAATAATTTTGTCAAAACTGTCATTTTTAATTGTGCTATTTTTATACCATTTGTGTTATACTAATTTTTTTTCTACATTTATTTATGTATTTATACATTATCTTATGCATTTCTGCTTTTATTTATTTTTACATTTATTTATGCATTCCTACATTTCTACATTTATTTATTTCTGTGTCTGTATGTTTTTAGACTTCCGTTGATGCAACTCTCTCTTTCTATGGCTCTGGTATTTGCTATTGACTGTTCAAATGCGGAGTTTTGCGCAGCGCAGAGTAACGCGTCGTGTGTGTGTGTGTGTGTGTGTGTGTGTGTGAGGGGAACAGGGTCACGTCACAGGAGAGTGAACTATGGAGAACGAGAAATGACTTAAGTATACATAAATAAATAAATGAATAAATAAATACGTAAATGCAGAATTAAATAAATAAATAAATGTAGAAATACATAAATTAATAAATGAAGAAATAAATATATGAAGAAATATAGAAATACATAAATAAATAAATACGCGACTCTGTTGCCCTTTCGGGCTTGAACTGATGGTAAAACTAACGACATTATTAACTGTCTTGATATTTACTTTGAAAGCTGAAGCTCGCGATTATGGTAAGGGGCGTTACATTTCCGACGCGTGCTTGTGGTGTTCGGCCAATCACAATGCACTGGGTCAGCTGGCCAATCAGAGCAGATTGCGCTTGTCAAAGGAGGGGACTTTGTTGAAAACGACGTGTTTGAGAGAGGCGGGGCATAGAGGACCTACAATAATGCAGTATTTGAAAAATATACATTAAACATTAAAGCATTTCAACATATTCTGTTACACCAAATACACCAAATAATGATCTTTAAAATAGCATCATATGACCCCTTTAAACAGGTTTCCCCAAACACTCTCTCATCTCTCATTGGTTGGACAACTAGCCCCGCCCCTAACAGACCACGCAGTCTCTAAATAAATAAACAAACAAACAAACAAATAAATAAATTTAACGTTAAAACATAGCACGCTTAACCTTCAATGCTGCATTTCCCCTTATGTAATGAAAATAAAATGTAATTTATTCTTACGTCATGAATGTGATCAAGCCTCTGAATGAAAGAGCCGTGTAGCTCCAGGCCGCTCGGTGATTCAGCGTTGGATTAGCTGTACTATGCTGATCCTCTGTTTGTACAGTTCATTGTGTATGCAGTGCTGCTTTTATTCCTTTCATAACAAGTTTTGTTGTGCCATATAGAACCTGTTGCCATGCAACTAGAGCGTGTTCACTGCACAGAGAAGAGAACTGAACGCAATATTTTCGTCTTCTCTGAGAAGGATTGTTCTGTGGTATTACTGCTTGTTTGAGTTGAACTCTGAACTACATCCGTATGGAATCCAGGTTTATGTGAGATTATTTTAATAGATTTTTTATGGGTCGTGGGAGTTGGTGTGAAGAGGAAGAATGTTTATATGATTGAGGTGAGACTCTTTTTATCTTTGTGATTTGACAGGTTCATACTGCATGAACTCTCTCTGACGTGCGCTAATATTTTCACCACCAGAGGGCACCAGGCATAAAATACGAGTAAAGGTGCACTAAGTATTTTTTTTTTCTTTTACAATTAATCGTGCATCTGATTTTTATTTTTATTTATTTTTTGTACAGTCATGTCAGTGGTTTACATAGAGTGTGTATCCTCATGGAGAGACTGCCATATTGAGATCACATGTATTCTGTATCTCAGTAAAGCCTTATTATTGGACAATGTTACATAAAAAATGAATTAATCACAGCTCACTGCTAAAAGAAAAAGCATTTCTCCAATAGCACTGGTAACTGAAACTATTGCTTTGCATGATGCTGCGTCCACAACAACTAAACTATTTATATATATCACCAATATAAATAAATAGTAATTATAAATAACAATAATAATAATAGCAACAACAGCAATAGCAACAAATTATTTGTATAATAATCACTTTTAATCATATGACGACAACAACAATAATTCATTTTTAATTATTATTATAATTAATAATAAAAATTTATTTTATAGATTTATATTTTATATATTTTATAAATCACTTTTAATCAAACAACAACAATTATTATGATCATTATTTTTGTCTAATAATAATAATAATAATAATATACTGATATTTATAATAATTATCATTATTTTCTAAAAACTTTTTAATTATACAAAAAAAACACACCATCACCACCACCACCAATAATAATAATA